GACGAGGCCTCACTCTAATCTACAAACGCAGCATCACTGCTCGGGGACCGCAGGGCAAACACGCTCCCCACTCGGCCCGGAAGCAGGCAAGCCTGGCGCACCTGACACCGCTTCGACCGACGTGCAGGGCCCAGCCTGGCATGGAGTCGGTCCCTATGTCAGGCTCGTAGGGCTCCTGTTACAAATGACCCCAAACTAGGAGACTTCATAGAAATTTAGCCTCCCATAGTGCTAGCGGCCGGAAGTCTGAGATCTCGCTGTTAGCAGAGCCGTGCTCCCTCCAAAGACTCTAGGGATGGGCTCTTCCTGCCAGCTCCAGCTTCCGGTGGCCCCTGGCGTTCCTGGGCTTGTGGCCGGCCGCCACAGTGCGAAATATATATATTTCCTAATCCCCAGAACCTGTGATGCGACCTTATATATATATTTTGGGAGGGGTGGCACCTTTCAGCCCAGTAGAGTATCTAATATTGGAGAAATAAATAAATGAATGTTAGGTGGCACGAAGTTCTAGGGGCTTCTTTTGCCAACATTTTTGTTTTGGTAGCATAGAGTGATCAGCGAGAAGACACTGCAGCGATGTCCTGTGTGATCACCAGGAAGCACTCGCCCAGCAGAAGGTGACACCAATGAGCCCCCGCCCTCCGCCCCCAGATTCTGAGCGTCAGGGCTGCAGACAGTGGACATGAGCAGGCCGGGGTCCTCTCGGCTGATTGGGAGAAAGAGCAAGTCCCCTGCCATCTGAGCAGCCGTGGTCCTCACCCGTCCTGCCTTCCCTTCCTTCTCCGTCAGCTCACCATAAGGCTAAGTGACACGTCACTCGGTGTAAATGTCTGATGGAAAAATCACGGCTCTGGATGTCAGGAGCAGTCCTGTGTCCACCTGCTGCCCAAACGCTAATGTCACAGGCAACATGGTACCGAAAACACTGTCGCTCTCTCCACCAGGTTCCAAATTCGAACCACATGCCATCAGCCATGACATGGGATAAACAAGGAAGTAAGAGCAGTGGAAGAAGAGGGTGGGAGAGTCTCAAGTTCATGGCGGATCCTTCGCAGGGGCCTGGTCTGGGCGAAGAAGACTGGTCGAAACGCCAGGGCAGCTCGCTCAAGTCGAACCGAAGCAGAGACTGTCAGAGGGCACGGGGAGGCCGACGGGCAGCGAGTCACTGGTCAGCACAGGCGGGACGTCCCCGGAGGGCCGGGCTCCTCTGTGCACGCGACACTTTCTAGTCCCAACCTATTAGGCCTCGGTCGTACAGAAATAAATAAATGTGCTATATAAAACCTCTGGAGAGGGCCTGTCCTTCGCACTTTGTGTCTTGGAAGCACTGGAAGCACAAGAAGAACTGGCAAAATGACAAGAAACCAGGAGAACGGTGGAGAAGCTGGGGCCACGCTCTCTTTGCGGCCGATTCCGGAGCTTCGGCAAATGTCTTATAGAAGAGGACGGCCGGCAAAGAGTGACTTCGAAAGCAAGCCGCGTGGGCGAGGCGCAGCGGCATGGCCCAGGCAGACCTTCCAGCGCCTTCCGTCCTGGCTGGGGACAGCGGGACCCCCATTTGTGCTCGCTTCTCGCCAGGAATCCTGCTCTGGTCACGCGCGTCACGGTGGAACGCGGAGCTCTGTGCGCCCGATGCCACCACGACACCTGCCTTCGTCGTGGGGGAGGATGCAGGAATAAAGGGGGCCTGACATCACTTTGGAGTTAAGAGGCACACAGTACAAACGACGCACGTTTGGAAATGTCTCGAACCCTGCTCTCAACTGCCCCCCTCTCTGTTAACTAACACTCATCAGGGCCGTGCTAACAGTGGGCAAGGAGATGGAGCGGAGCGGGTGGGGGAGGGAAGGAAATTAGACATCGTGTTTCGTTCATCTACGAAGAAACGAGTCTGCAGACTTCATCACGCCGCCAGGAGGAAGAATGATTAAAGAGCCTGGAGCCACCACATAGCTCTGCCGCAAAAGTCCCCGAGACAATGGAAAATATAATTGATAGAAAAAAAATCAAACTGCCAATGTGATCATGTGGCAGCCAACTCTTCAAAACGTTGCTACTGACCAGATGCTAATGAATCCGTCTGTGTCCATACCCGAATTAGTCACGGCAGCCATAAAAAATAAACAGATATTTCACGTAAAGATTACTGTAGGATTTTAGGGCTAGAATTGAAAAGCAAGAATACTTCTTGGCCATTAGGAAATTTTCTTGATAGGGAGGGATTTACATTTATTTCTTCATTTCGTGCAGAGCAAAACCATGATGGAAACAAATCGAATTCCTCTGCTAGATGTATAACCCAGAAAAAAAATGGCGAGCTTTCAGCACTTGTTTTAAAATGGCCATAAAAACAAATACGTCTACTACTTTTTTTATTTTTATTTTTCCAAGGGTGGAAACGTACCTGAAAAGTATGTGAAGGCTGCATCTCTAGCAAAGTTAAACAATATTAAAGTGAACTAGGACAGGGAACTAGAGAACACAGATAGAGAGATGCTCGTGGAAGAGGTCTCATGGTCTCATGGGCATCACGCTGCTGAGAGAGGAGAGAAAGCAGGAGATGGACACTTATCCTAACTCGGTGTTTCCGATAAGGCGGACAGAGGACAAACCCCCATCTGTCACCCACGTAATCCTCCCAACAGTCCTAGAGGGACCATCCACACACTGTCATCGTCGTCCTAGTTATCATCATGGCTTTACAAATGGGAAATACAGGGGTTCGAAGAAGTCGAGCGACTTGCCCAGGGTCACACAGCATCCGACTGATGGCCCAGAATTTCAACCCAGGCCTATCTGATGTAGGATATTTTCCAAGTTCATCAGAGGCTTGACCAACCCTCACGAAGTGAAGAAAATAAGCAACGAACAATACACATGGAGTCTTGCCCCGCCCACACAGAGGGACCTTAGAGGATGTGACATCCTTATCCCTCTTTACCTGGGAGCCCTGGGCCAGGAGCAGCCCTGACTCAGGAGACAGGTGCCCATCCTGAAACTTGGACCACAGGGTTCTTTACGTGGGTGCCGGGGGCAGCACCACGTGTCCCCACATCCCACGCAGCTGGGCTTTGACCGGATGCCACGTATGGCTAGGGGACAAGCGCCGACCTCCAGTGGAAGGGAGGTCTGTGAAACAGTCTTCGCCATGCGTCGGGCCTCAGGACACACCTGCATCTCAGAGTCACCTCACCTCAAGGTGGGATCAATGACCGAATGTCTCCCACGATGGGAACAGCCGTGGGACAAAAGCCGGGCTCCTGACGAAGCATCGGCATGCTCTCTGCCCACCTGCTGGGTCTGATTTTTGGTCCAACATTTCCCCGAAGTCCATGTTTACCCATCGCTGCTCCTATGAAATTTGAACTGCTCAGTGGCTAAGAGCGGCCGCGAAGTCAAACAGACCCAGCTCTGCCCCTTTCTTGCTCAGGCAGAGCCCTTCCGGTCCCCAAGCCCCAGTCATCTCGTTTATAAAAACAGGGATAAGCCACGCCCCCCTCAAGGACAGGCAAGGACTGAGGGAAGTCTACGCAGAGTGCTGGCGCCCTGTGGACGGTTAACCACGGTGGCTATCACACTGATAATAATGTTAACAGGAGGGCTGGGAGGGGATGACCTGCGGGGTCCCTCCCGGTCCCAGAAGTCCATTACCGTTTGGCCCCATGATGACGACAGGATGATCAGAGACTTACTTCCAGCCACGGTGTGCCAGGAAGCCCCGTTGACGGTCCCGTCTTCCTTTTGGAAGTCTTCCGTGTGGCACACCCTCCTCCTGGCATCTGTCATCAGGCGGTGCGTGGAGGCGTAGGAGTAGGCCAGCCAGCGGAACACGTGGTCGTCCGGGGTGGGCGTGCGCTCCTGCGTCTTCCACAGGGACCTCACCATGTCGTAGGGGTACGCCACCACCAGCTCACCCCCCTGCAGGTTGCCGCCCAGCACAAACGGGATTTTTTCCATCCAGGCTATGACGGCCCTGGTCTCCACCGCCACCTGTGAGCATTCCAAAGGAAACACACTTTGATAAATAAAGCAAGAGAGAAACTGCTTTCTCTCCCTAGCTTTCCAAACAGGGATGACATTGAAAAAGCAATAGAATCTTAGCAAAATTTAGAATTTCAAAATCAGTACCAGGAGAACTGGACTTTGTGGAAATAACGGTTTTAAAAACGAGAAACCCAGGCAAGTTTCTCATTGCAGGAATCTTCCAGTTAATGCACAAACTGGAAATGATGGAGTGTCAACATTTTACAGCTGCAGGGGATTAACGGGTCAGGAGTGTTTATTGATGTCTGCAAAGAGTACAGAGAGAGATATAGCCAAACGTAACATGTCTCCTGATGGACAAACACACACCCCCAAAAATATCTGTCTTGAATCTGACCAAGACTTTAGTCCAGGCTTTTTCTGTAAAGGATCAGGCAGCATGTACATATTTTAGGCTTTGCAGCTTACAAAATATCTGTCCTGAATCTGACCAAGACTTCAGTCCAGGCTTTTTCTGTAAAGGACCAGGCAGCATGTACATATTTTAGGCTTTGCGGGCCATACGGTCTGGTCTGTCCTAACTACTCGACCCTCTGCCTGTGCAGCAGGGCAGTGCCACAGACAACATGCAGATGAATGACGGTGGCTGTGTCCCAGTAACACGCCATTGACAGAAGTAGGCCAGGGGAAGAACGTGGCCCATGGGCTGCAGTGTGCCAGCCTCTGTTCTAAGTAGCCCTGTCTCCTCCGAATCTCTCTGCCAGTTTATACAACACAGAGAAGAACGTGTTACAGGACATCGCAAGAACACAATTAGCAGCACCTAGACAGTGGAAAATGCGCCAAGACAATCTAGTTATTTACAACCCGGCTGTTACAAAATCAACGACAACAGCAACGATCAAACTTGAAGGAAAAAAGGAAGCGACAGAGGAGTGTGATCTGTAACTCAAATGAGACTTAAGACGTTTACATGCCAGTCAGAATGAATGGGCTTTATTTGGATCGAGATGTAAACGAGATGGGGGCGGGGGATGATAATATCAAAATGTGAACACTGGAAAGATATTTTATGATGTGAAGAAATAATTTATTCTGATAGGATAATGGCAATGATGCAGAGTTTGAAAGCAGAGTCTCGTCTTTTAGAGATATTTACTGAAATATTTACCAATGAAATGTATCGCCTGGTATTTGCTTCAAAAATCTCGGGGAGGAGGGGAAAGTGGTGAAGATGTTGATGGAACATGAATTGGTAAGTGAAGTCGAGATGGATGCGTGGAACTCCTTTACAGCTTTTTCTCTCACTTTTTATGTTTGACTTTTTTATGGTAAAAATTTAAGAAAGAGGAAGGAAGGAAAGAAGGAAGGAAGGAAGGAAGGAAGGAAGGAAGGACACAATAGTAGGCCTTCTCAAACACCAAAAAAGAAAGAAGGAAGGAAGGAAGGAAGGAAGGAAGGAAGGAAGGAAGGAAGGAAGGAAGGAAGGAAGGAAGGAAGGAAGAAAACTGATCATCTTAGAAACTAAAATTGGAAAGCCTGATATGGTCAAATACTGATCAGTGAATCAAATATTTATCCCAACTCACTGATCCCTATGAAGATAATGCCGGTGGAATAAAATTGAGAACGAAAGATAAATAAACAGTGGAAATGGTTTCACTGAGCTCGCAGTGTGCTTGCCGAAAATGCAGCCTTTCCCATCCTTCCCTCCTGCTTGTTGACATCATCTTTTAATTAAATCCTGGCCAATCGGATTTAAGCAGAAGTATTCTGTAGGAGTTCTAGGAATGCCTCTTAAAGTTAATGCAATTATCTGAGAGGAGGACTTTTTTTTCATCCTTTCTCTCTTCTTCCTCCACAGACATGACAGCTGGATCGTCCACTGCCACCTTGGATCATGGAGGAAGAAGGTCACATGCTAACACAGCAGAGGCAGAAAGATGGATGCTTCCCTGGATCCCGATGGTCACGGGGCTTCTATTTTGCCATCTCCAGGGTCTCCATCTCCAGGGTCCTTTTACGTGAAAAAAAGAAACAAACTTCTCCCTCATTAAGCCACCGTTATTTGCTTTTTCCTGTTGTTGCAACTGACCCTCACCTTAACGCTGTATGTATACAGCCATCAAACCAGACCTCGTGAGGGACACACACTGTCAAAGTTAGGGGTGTAGGCAATGGGCCGAGGAGGCTGGAAAAGGGATGGGAAGTTGTGTGAAAATTATTTCTTCTACAACATATTCTTTGTGAAACAAAACACTTCTCACCCAATTGCGTTCTTCCTTCCGAGGAAGTACCCTATGTAATAAATCCATGGGGAGTTATTAAAAGAAAAATAAGATACCTCAACGGCGAGGGCTAAGGACAATCTTGTAGCAGTATAACTACCAAAGCTAAGGGCGACCATGCTAGTTACAAACACGCCCAGTTCAGGGGAATTATTATTTTTTCTTTGCTGTTAAAGCACTGCAGGGTTGTACAGAAATATAATGAAATGATTTCCATGAAGAATCTCCTCAAATATCAAATGTAAAAGGTAGTTATTATCCAGCACACTTGGAGAAAACATGACAGAAAAAGCGGTTTTGTCTTGTGCTTAAATGTCACATCCTCTGCAAATACCGGGTGTTGACTTTGGCCTTCCGCCGCTCTGCAGATTACGGGGTATTTCCACTCACCGTGGCATTTTCAGACAGAAACCACTCCGGGATGGCGATGTGGTGGTTGGGAACCTTCCTTGGGATGTTCTGCCGGTCCTCCGCCTCCCAGAGCAGCGTGTTTAGGTCGGGGAAGTTGTTGTTGATGTCGATCCCATCGTGGGTCCAGCGTCCCAGGGACCAGCCTCCCAGCTCCGAGCCCTGGAGACGATTCAGAATATCAGGATCCCACAGGCTCCTGAGCAGAGCTGACTCTGTCACACCTAGGACGCCTCCGTCTCCACCTCCATCTCCACCTGGGGTGTATCCCTAAGCCTCTACACCCCCTCTGACCCAAAGATGACATCCAAAGGATAATATCAAAACACCTTCTATCACTATTTGGTGGGTGATGGATAACACAGCCGCATCGCTGTGAGGAGGGAAGGCAGAGAGTGGTTCCTGCCCCAAGGCGGTGACCAGAAAGTCTTAGCCCCTGCGTCCCCTTCCTCTCTCCTCTGAGAGCTTCTACACTGGTCGGATGAAACTCCGAGTGCTAACGAAGCTCAGTTCGTCATTGCAAAATCAACAGCCGTCGCATTCATACATTCTCCCTGCCCTGCCCACAATTCTGGCCTGCAAACCCCTAACCAACAGGCATTGCAAATCCCTAACTATTTGTACCAATAAATACATCTAAAATTCTGAATCGGAAAGCTCGCATTGGATAGGTACCATCGTTTTAAGTATAGTTTTCCCTTTTATTCCAAGATAATAGTCCCAGATAATATTAACCGCATTCGATACTTAATTCTATACATATGTATATCCTACACATAAGTGTAACCTATACGAATTCTACACCATAATTAGAACATGCAATATAAATGATATATCAGACTAATAAGACAAGTCACAATAATCAGGGTTGGTGCTTGCCTTGATTAAGTGCTTAATGTCAGGTGTTCTTATTCTAGTCTATTCTTCTCACTGTGTGTGTGTGTGTGTGTGTGTGTGTGTGTGTGTGTGTATTATTTGCATTCATTTTCTCCAGTCCGTTGGCATGTCCACCTCTCAGGGGTCCTCATCATTCTCAATTCCTGCTTTGCATCTTTCATAGACCTCGTCTCAGTGGAGAGACACTCAACAAGCGAGCTCCGAATGTGGGATTCGACCCGCGGGCGAGCAGGCGGGGCAGGCGGGGCCCAGCCGCAGCTCGGAGCGAGGGGCGCGGAGGCATTACCCCTTCGAAGGCCTTCTCGTAGCCGTCGGGGTTGAGGGAGGGGAGGATGTGAATCCGCGTCTCCTCCACCAGGCGGACGATGCGTGCGTTCCGGGCCAGGTACTCCTGGCATAGGAACTGCATGAGCAGAAGCACCAGTTCCCGGCCCAGCACCTCGTTGCCGTGGGCACCGGCAACGTAGTGGAACTCCGGCTCACCTGGACTCAGAGACAGAAGACATACAGGTGCGTACCAGGTGCCCGCAGCAAACAGCCCTTATCACCCTGTGCTAGAATAAAAAATCTCTGAATGATATCAATGTACAATATTAGCCCTCTCTAGTCTTTCAAATAAACTTCCTAAATTATATCAGTTCTATGCTTTTATGCCCAAAGAATCAGATAAATAAGAAAATGTGTAGAAAAAAATCTTAGATGATAACAACCACAAGCTAATCATGTTTATTCTTATTTAACGAGAATAAATAAAAGCACAGTGTTCCGAGTTTAAATTAACGAATAAAACACAAGCCATAGAAATGATTTAAAAAAAAAAAAAGGAAATGACTTTTACCTTCTGGGAGGTAATTATTTTTCTCAAAATGATTACATTTTACAAGGATACAAAGATGAATAAATATAAGCAGAAAACAGGCCAGCAGCACAAGTCAGCAGAGACAGAATTTTGTAAGGGGATGTCTGAGGTTTTTGGGGGTTTTTTTTTTCAAAGCTCAGTTTTTCAGGGTTGGAATTTATCATTATGGGGCACGAGCTGATGATGCTTCTCCTTCCCGCATTGGTGAAGCTACCGCTTTTGAGGAAATGTGATTTTACTCATAGATAAGCCCTTACTCTTTAAAAGGAACTCCTGAAATTTTGAAATACTGACGAATGTTAGTTGCATGAATCAGACAAATCTCTGGACTTAAGTATCGGGGGATTTCTAAAGGGCTCGCGGATTTACCATAAAACGGACCAGAGAAGTCCCTCGGACCTGGGGGAAAACATGCTCTCACGAGTGACTCATGGGAAATGGCTGGAAATAGAAAATGTTTGAAAATAAGATTGAAACTTTTTAAAAAATTAGGGACCTCCTCAAACTTGAGCCATTAATGAACAGGAAATCCAGAATTTTCTGTCAGAAAAGGATGCTGTCCTAACCAACTCCGGCCATTTTCCTCTTTGGTTGGTGTGGCTGACCCAGAGCTGGAGAATGGAAGTAACAAAATGGCCCATTGGGAGCAAAGGAAGATAACTTCTAGCTTAAATAAGTAAACAACCCGAATCATGAGACGAAAGGTTCACAGAACCAAGTTCTGCAGAACCCGCCTGTGTGGGCGCTGCGTGCACCACTCGGCCCTGTTCCGTGAATTTCTCCCAGGCAGAACGGTCTCCGTGCTCTCTAGGAGGGCACCAGACATGAAGGGACCGAGGCATCCCAGAGGGGTGACCTCACCAACTTCGTGCTCCCCGGGGTGGTCGGAGATCTCCACAGCGTACAGCTTCAGGCCCTGGTGGCTCTTGCCGATGTTGTAAATTCTGGTGATGTTGGGGCACATTCCATTCACAACCTTCATCAGCTGGAAAACACAATGGATTAAGGGCCTAAGCAATGCGGGCAATGCACTAAGGCGGGCAGAGCTCCCCGGAAGACAGCCACCTGCTATCCCCCCCGCCAGCCCGCACCCCCACCCCAGGCATCCCCACTCTCAACACAGGCCAGCGCTGTCCTCTGCCTGGGGTGGTCTCCTGTCCTCCCAGCACCCCTGGGTGGTGGCTATCACCTCCCTTGCTGGTGGCATCACCTCCCTTGCTTGTGGCTATCCCTGACCTTGGCTATGGTATTATCTCTTCACTGTGGTTTCCTGTTTTCTTTTGTCCCCTCGCTAGACTACAGATCCTTTAAGGGACAGACTGAGCCTTTTAGCTCTATATCTCTGGCTAAATAACTATTTATTACTGAATATCAGTTTCTTTCACAATTTAAGGAACCTCTGTGACGTCAGGCTGAGGAAACAGTCCCCGCTCCTGCCCTCCCAGGGCTCGCAGTGCAGTGACAGGCGGGAGTCATACGACGTCCCACTCCGCCGGTGCTCAGCAAGGGGACGCAGGGCGGCCATGGTGACGGGAGTCGTGCGGTTCAGGGTCGGGGCAGCAGGCTTCCGCCAGGAAGTGAAATAGACTCGTGCTGTTTTCTGAGTTTCGCTTTGACGGTCGAGCTCATCAGACTGACAGCTGCCACCCGCGGGAATGTGACAAGATGCCCAGGAGGTAAGCAGGGCTCTGGGAGTGGCAGGGGCACAAGCTGCGCTCGGGGGTGAAGGACACAGACACTGTCCCCAGAGGTCGCCTTCCTTCCATCTCTGAACAAGGACTGTCAGTGACCCGTGACACGCCCTTGATTTGCTGGGTGAAATTGTTGCACAATCCTGATCTGATTCAAAGGCTGTCTCGGCCAGACACCAGACCGGCCACGCTCGTGGCGGCAGCAGGAGCGTTCAGGGGACAATCCTGCGACAGTGTGTTAAAGACCAGGACGGACGCGCGGATGCTGTGGAAGCAACAAGGAAGGACAGTCCGGCCAGGGTGTGAGCGGGCCGGCGTCCATCGGGGAAGGTTCGACCCTTGGAAAGATGAGCGGGAGCTGGGTCGTTGGTGACCTAAGGAAGGGCATAGCCCAGAGGGACAATGTGGACCTGGATGTGCCCTAACCATCTTTCAAAAAATTCTTGATCAATCGAATTATCCGTAAAATGTCTTTAAACTTGTAAATAAACAAATATGTTGCAAATTTTAAGGCGGGTTAAAATCTACGAGGACTGGAAAACTGGTGTTCTGTAGAACTGATGATAAGTAAAGTTATACAGCTGTGCACTTCATTTGCCTTTCAAAACAACGTTCTGCAGTGACTGCGCGAAGTGTGTCTAAGGAGCATCAGAGAACATTTCTGAGGCACTGGAGAGATTTATAGCTGCTGCGGCTTTGTGTTTATGACACCCACGGGTTGTTACAGGTGCAGCCTTGCTCAGGAACTCCGGGTCTAATTCTCTCTCGCTCCTGGGGGGCAAACGTGCTTCGCTTTGACAACTCACCTGGAGTGCGGCATCCAGGTGAGTGAAAGAGAATTCTGGCCGTAAACGACCCTTGTTCTCAAGAAGGTGAAAGCAGAAACCCACCGGAAGTTAAGAAACAGCACACGAGGGAAAAGCGGCTCTCTGCCCATCGGCAGGAGGGGTACGTGACGCAAGGTCAAGGTGGGGCCGCAGGTGAGATGCATCACGTTTTAACAAGAGACGGTAATAAAGTCACTGATAATATCCACAGTCATGTAATACTGCATTCTGTTTCTCTGCTGCATCTCACCGTCGTGACCACTGGGTGAAGCAGGTAAGTAGTAGAGGTGATGGCCCCCATGTCACAAAAATGGAGAGCGAGGCTGGGAGCCACACGGAGTGATTTGCCCAGGGTCCCCCAGCTCGTACTAGACGGAGACAGGGCTTTGGACTCCAGGCTCTTATTTGTCTGTGAAGGTGCAGCTAAGCAATGAAAAGCAGCACACCTGTCTGCAGCACACGGCGACCATTCTGAGAAAACGGGCACGGCACCCCCCCCCCATCTTATTTGGAGCCCCGCGGTCTCGTCCCTGCTGATCACACTGTCATTCTCGGCTACCGGCATCGATCTCGCAAATTCGGATCAGCAGGCGGCCCACTGTCTCGCCTTTCGATCAATAACGAGTTCCGCAGACACAGAGCCGCTCTGCTTATCCTTAATTAGGCGATGAACGCGAGCCCCCGGCACGGAGCCTGCCTGTCACTCAATGCTTACTCTCCTGCCCCTCTCGGTGAGCTGCTGGAGAATGTGCCACCTGTGTTAGAGACCATGACCTTGACCTTGACACTGGAAAAAGACGAATACCGTCTTCCTTTGGATGCACACTTAGCCACAGCTAGTCCCTCAGTGTGGGATGCTCTCAGCATGAGTCATCAGAGTCACCTCTTTATATTCTACCCACTGTCACAGCGTTCTGTGACCAGCCACATTTTCCTTCTCTGTGTCGCGGTAATAGGATGGAGTATTGCCATTATGACAAGTGTCTTTCCTCACATAAGAATGAGAACACAGGCATTTGAAGAACATCCTTTACAAGACGTTCTTTACAATTCTCTCTGTGTAGTGGCCATCTGTGGTTTCTCCGGTGGCCAAAAGCACCATCGAAGGCCTGGGTGGTGACCCACCTTGCTTATTTCCAAAAGGAGTCAATTTTTTTTTTTTTTTTTTTGGAGCTTGGGTCTGAGTGGTAAATATTTAGGTCTTGATGGGTCTTAAGAGTAAGGACTAGAATTTCTTCATGGTCTTAGAGCATGAATTCTCAATAGGGGAGACATCACTCCCAAGAAGGAAAAAATTGGCTCTTTGGGGCTACAAGTCTTCGATATTACAATGCTTTGTGGCCCTCCAAAGCTCAAACCTACCCAACGAAATCTTATTCCTTAGTATTCAATATAAAGGCTGGAGGAAAATTAAGAAAAATGTCTGAAAAGCCTGCTTAGGAGGCGCTAATGAAACACGGTTGAGAAACATCACCCTAGAGCAGTGGTCTCCGCCTTTTGTGGCCCCAGGGACCGGTGCTCCTGTGAGAATCTAAAGCCCGATGATCTGAAGTGGAGCTGAGGCGGTGATGCTGGCACCGGGGAGCAGCTGCAGATACAGATGAAGCTCTGCTCACTGGCTCACCGCTCACCGCCTGCTGTGCAGCCCGGTTCGTAACAAGCCACGGACTGGTACTGGTCCACAGCCCAGGAACTGGGGACCCCTGCCTTAGAGAGTAAGGCAAGACCCTCAGCTTCATCAGGACTCTTTCCTCGTCTCTGAGACAGGAAGACATTTCGCCGCCCTCGTATCTACTGAGTTCTGGGCTCCGCCGTTCCCCTCTGTTCCTGAAGACAAGACATGAAAACGCCCCATTTTCTACTAATTCCGCTTCTGGCCATGTATCAGAGAGAAACTGTTCACAGAGACTGGTGACATGATACGCACGATGACACTTGCTGCAGCATGTTTCACGCGGCCTTCGTGTTCATTAAAAGCCGGGTGATCCCCAAATGCTCCAGAGCAGGAAGACAGCGGCGGGGACGATAATGCAACCCTCACTGGAACATTCTGCAGCAGCACGATTACAATCGCGAGGCTAGTGTGAAAGACGGCCAATGGTCCAGGATTAGCTGACAAAAGCAGGGCAAAAGTGTAACCATCCTCTGAACGAAAGCGTATGAATTCTCGGAAGATAGAAATTCAAACACTGGATAGAAATAGGGCGAAATGAAAACCACTGACTGTTGCGGGTCGTGGGCTCACGGAGGACTAACTTTCAGACCTTCCTTTGCACCTGATGTGCGGACAATATCTTTTATTCGATGACTTCGAATGTCAGAGAAGAGAAGAAAGTCCTCATCCATCGTCTTTGCTCATTTGCCTGAGAAACAGACACTGCATCTGATCAAATGGAAATGGACTCCCAGGGAGAGGAAGCGGGGAGAGAATCACAGTGAGCGGCACCCCGCGGGTGAGGGGTGGGCTGGTCCGGATCTGCTGGCCTGCTGCCCTGCCCTGGCTTCCTGCCGCCGTTACCTGCCCCCAGCGGCAGGCTGAGCACGGAGCAGGTGGCAGGCTCAGCCACTGGACCCCCGCAGCCTGAGGCCCCAGCCATCCTCAGCTGCCCTGGAAACCCACACCGCTAGCTGCTGCCTTCTGACTCATCCTCCTACCTTCTTCTTCCTAGTGCATCGCTCCCAACTGACCGGCCAACCAAACGGGACGCGCGGAGCGTCCGGAGGCTGACGACGCCGTGCCCGACCCAGAAGTCAAGTCATTAGCCTTTCCCACAAAACCACCTACTTCCCCACTTTGCGGACGGGGTCCCATCCCCTCGGAAGCATGCCAGCCCCCTTTCTCTCCCCAGCTCACTTCAACAGCTGACCTAGGACCAGCCAGTGCACCTCAAAAATGCCTCACCCCCTCCTTCTTTAGGCCCAGTAGGTCCCTCTCCTGGGGACTTGGCTGTACTCACCAGTCTGCTCTCCAAACAACCTCCAGATGGATCTCCTTGAGCTCTGCTCATGTAAAAACTTCCCCTGATTCTCAGACGCATTCCAGAAGTGTCTCTGAGCAGGCCAGTCTCCCCTGCCAGCAGACTGCCCGCCGTTCCAGAAACATGCCATTTCTGCTTACCTCCTACCTCTGCTCTCACCGCCCACGCTGCTCAGAGCACCCTTCCTCCCGCCCCCGCCTGCCCGAGCCTGGGGGTGAAGGACACAGACACCCACCCCGGAGGTGACAGTCCTGGAGGACAGCCAGCCCCATTGCCACCAAAGCCCTTCCCAACCATAGCCAACCAAGCCGGTCATTTCTCCCCCAACATCTCCCCTGTGACAACCTCAGAGGTACATATTTACCTAGTACACATTATGGATTTCTGATAAAACGACAGAGTCTCTGCCTTTGTGGTCCCAAAGAAAGGAGACATAACATACACACAGACGAACAGATGACTAAGCAATTATAAATCATGACAGGAGTTGTCGAGGCCTCAAGCACTGGGAATGCTTACGTGACTCCGCCTTATAATATCAGTGTTCCTGCCTCTCCCCGTTCCTTCCCCGTCCCCATCACCTGTGGGTTCCCCCTGGGAGAGGACAGTGCCTTCTAAGTCGCTGCTCTAGAACCACTTCCGGCACACAGAGCCATCCACGTTCTCGGGAACTTCTCCCAATGCAGTTAGTTTTCCTATTTTCTCTTCCGTCTTTCTGCTCCTGCTGCCGTTTCTCGTTTTTGTTTGTTTGTTTGTTTGTTGTAAATGTCTCTTTCAATACTAGGATAAACTAACATTGTTTTTCCCCTGAAGTAGAAGGATTTCCACAGTAACCTAGCAGACTCCATATGGGCAACTGCTCAAAACGCTAGCTGCTTTCCTGCCCCCAGGAGTCAGGGATCCCAGCGGCAGATCACTTGCCACTTGAACACTCTTCAGGACTGAGAGATGCTCGCCAGTCGAGCCCTGGGCCCTGGGCCCTCGGCGGGGTCATCCAGCGTCACCCGCAAGGCTGCACTGACTATGCCAAGGTTCTTCTTAGCACTCACATCTACCAAGGACAGAGACCAGAGTTGGCAGATGACACACAGTCCCCCCCACCCAAGCTCTCCTTATTAGAGAAGAACCCCAGTTTCCCACACGGCACGACTATTTAAAGACACCAGTTACCTGGACCCTCCGTGCAGTTAGTCTGTTTAAAATGCATTTAGATATATTGCTCTTGACAGTAATTGCACCAGCTGAGTTGATGTTTGTCTAACTTCTGGGCTGGAAAAGATGTCTGGAGATGTCCAGTAAGCAAAGCTGGGCTAACACACAAGTGCTCCCCCAGATGGAGCGGTGAGCTGAGCCATTTAATCCCCAAGAACACAGAGTGGCAGGGTGACTCACGGCCCGCAGACCCAAACTCATTATCGTGATTTCTGAGGAGCAAGGTGCAAGACAATTTCTTTAGCACGTCCCACCTCTAAGTCTGTGCTGATGGGTGTCTGGAAGCTGTGTGTGTGTCCACTGAAAGGACACGGGGACAGGCTGGGCTTGCCGATTCCCTGGGGTGGGACTTGGTCTAACTGCCCCGACCTCACCGGGGCTGGGGGGCTGCTTCCTTTCCTCAGCATCTAGGAGCCCCTGCTTTGAGCCACGTTAATTTGGCCTTGGTGAGTTCCGGTTCTTTAAATGCATCTATTAGGGCATTTCTCGGCCGGTTGTCTCTGCAAGCAGATTCTTTGATATCTGAGGACTTCTCATTTGCCAGCGCGTCCCCACCCCTTCCAGCATCATGCTTGGGGGACACCCTGAACAGGATTCCAGAGGCCAAGCCCTCAGCATAGGGACCGCAGTTTCAGCCAGTCCCGGTAAATGTTTGGTTCCCTCTCCCTCTGCACATAGTACACAAAAACGCCACCAAGAGCTCCGAATGCCTTGGTTTCTGTAATTAAATCAGGGGACAAGCTCATCTGGGAGTACCTTTTCCTCCTGACAGTATGGAAGTGCTCGAAGCTGTAAGGGCATCGGGCCAGAGATCTGAAGACTGACTGTACGTTAGAATCACAGAGAGAGCTTTTACAAATTAGATCCTCCTCCTAAAGATTCTGCTTTAACTAGCCCGACAGAGAGATCAAGTAGAAAACCCCAACGAGGCTTTCTCAACCTTGAAACTACAAGCATTGAGTGTGGCTTCAGCAAACCAAACTGATCATTCAGATTCTACCCCTAACACATCTTCCTAGTTTCTGAAAATAAAAGCCTACGCGTTTCGGGGTGCACGTGTATCACCCCTCGACGAACCCAGGTCCTACCTGGCGCATTTCCTTGTAGCTGTGGTGCTTAAAGTCCAGGTTGTCGGTAGTGGTCATCTCGTTTCGTCGGTGATAATAGTTATTTGGATCTAGGAAGAGAAATACGGTTTTGAACTCATAGACATCATTCTACTATGTGCGGTGGCACTGTTGGGTGCCCGATTCGTGTGGGGACACAGCCCGATCTCCAGCTTCTCACACAGGCACAGAGGTGAGAGAGACAACTTTCAAGACGCTTCTTAGGGGTCAGAGTTACCTAGTGATGGAGAGCATGGGCCTGGAGCCAGGATGCCTGGGTTCAGATCTCTGCTTGTCCACTTACGTGCTGTGTGACCCCGGACATGTCACTGGATAGTCTTTGCCTTAGTTTCTTCACCGTAAACAGAAAACATACTGGCACCTCCCTCATTGGTTTATTGCTAGTATTAGTTGGGATAACATGTATGTTGGCAAACTGTCAGCACTGAACGAATGAACGAATGAATGAATGAAAAGTGAATGAATGAATATCACAACTGCGTGCGTGAATGGAAATTTTTAGAAGTCTGGGGGACACTATTAGTTGCTTACCAGCATTCAGTCCATTTTCGTCCTTCCTCACAGAAGCCTGTGTTGTTAGGGACCCCCCCCCTCGACTTCCTCTCTTTTCAGAAGCAGACCTTTTCCTCACAGAAGCCTGTGTTGTTAGGGACCCCCCCTCGACTTCCCCGCTTCTCAGAAGCAGACCCCAGGTCCCCGGCTCTAAGGGCCCGACACAGCTGGGCCAAGCCCAGCAGAGCAAAGCACTCCCTGGCCACTCTCACTGGTCCAGATCGAAGGGAGGACTTCAAGGTAGCGGAGGAGGACGAGGGAGAATCTCTCCAGGTGGGGGACAGAGAGAGTCCCAGCGACCTCAGGAGCCGATGAGTGAACCAACATGGAAGCCAGTCCTTCTTCGGGGCTGCCAATCACGCCAGGTGACAAAGTCCCTTAGCCATTAAGCCAATGGGAGCTGGTGGTCTGTTGTTGGGTCTGAAGCACCCCAAGAGGCATAATCAGGATGTATAAACAGTAGTCACCTCCGGGGACTGGGATTCGGGGGCCTGGGGATGACATGTCCGCTCCTGACAGGATTCCCTTCCATATAAACTGACTTTTTTTTCATGCTGTTAATATAAGCATGTATTGTTCCTATAATTACAGAAACAAAGAACACTCAGATGCAAGGCGAGGACAAGGAGGAGCGAGTGGGCTCTGAGGTCCTCCTCCTGGCAGACCTCAGCCAGCGCCCCCCGTATCTCTCCCTGGAGGACGCAGCCGGAAGTCCTGGCCGGCCCAGGTCTCCCCACAACTAGTGAGAATGCGGAGCTTTACAAATCATTCTACCAACCCCGGAACCACGTAGGCGAGGTCGGAACCACAGCAGGTGTCGGTTTGATGCACGTCTCTGGAAGAGCGATGCTGGAGGCGGTGGTGGTGGCACAGGTGGGTGATGCTCCCTGCGGTATCAGAGCAGCGAGTCCCGATGTGTGCCACCAGTGTGTGCCACCAGTGCGGTCCACAAACCAGTGCTCTGGCTGCTTGTCAGACCCAGCCTAACCTACTGAATCAAATTCACATTTTTAAAACTCCCAGGCGGCTCCACAGGCTCAGAAGTTTGAGAAGCACCGTGTTCAAAAGTACTGAGCACACCTCCAGCAGGGTCACGGTCCTCGTGCACGGTACACATGTCTGCGTCCCCACCGCCACACAGGTCGTGAAAGCCTCACGAGACTCGCCAGGGTTCACGATGAGCCGAAAATCACACACAGACGCGAACAATGAAAAGACAGTTTTTAATATTCACAAAAGGTTTGCCAATAATTCTATGAGAAACAAATGACTGTCATTGACAGAGAAATAATGGGGGAGGGCCAACGGGCATTCTGTCCAGAAAAGGAAGCAAAAGCAATTCAGGTTTAGCCAAGAGACACCCCCGCTTACTTCGCGGAGACTTTCCTTCCAGAGTGGGGCTGACCCCGCCCTCAGGCAAGCCGCCTTCCCTGTGATTCCTAAACCTCTGTGTTTAAAAGCAAAGGTACCGCGTATTTTTCACATTAATTTACACTTAACTTACACACATGCCGTTTTCTAAGAGCTATTCAAACCCCCCTCCGCCCAGGTCCCCAGGGGCCTCTTTCCCAAACTCTTTAAAGCCCCCTTTGTCTTTGAACCCAGATTATGCCTTCCAGGTTCTCAGAAGGGACTGAAGAAACTTTCAGAACGCCAAGTACAAACAAGCTCCCACGCTCTCTGCTCGGCAGGGTTCTCTCAGGCTCGCATTGAATCCGTTTGCATAAGGATATGAACTGCCTCAAAACCACGGCTGAGTATTTTTCAGAACTTTCCACCTCCCACATTCGGACCAAATCCTCCTTTACTTGTCCACTTATTCCGACTGCATAAAGTTTTATTGGGAACCTCAGAGTCTAACACTCTCGATAAGGAGATAAGTGGGAACAGAGCTCAGCCCTCCTGGGGCTCAGAACCTACGATGAGTCCGCCAAACCCACTGTCCCCTTCTTCCCTCTGTGAACAAAAGGTTCCCCTTCTCCTGTGGGGAATGTGTTCCAGATGGTTCCGATGGAATTGCCCTGGCGACCATTCACAGGTATGGACATGTGACCCAGGTCCGGCCAATTAAACACTTTGTCCTCAGGCCACAGTCACTGGCTCAGCTGATCCCAAGATCCCAGGATCATGGCGGGCCGATCAGATGGTGTTCCACCCGGAGCTGTAGAAGGAAAGTCTTTCTGCCGAAGTCACTCGGGAGGCAGGACAGTCTGGGATGGTAGTGACCAGCCTCCCTCCTGGCTGTGGGGCAGTCGGCAGAGGGGCGGGCGGTGGAAAGCCCCGGCTGCATGGAGAAGGCCGCAGAGATTACACCCATTTTTGTCTGAAGCCAGAGTCAGAGCTACCCCCGGACTTTCCATTTATGTGAGCCAAAATTTTCCTTTCCCCCTTCAGCTGATTCGAGCAAGACTTCCGATGTCGGAAACAGAGTCTGTCTGCAAAGCCTCACAGAGGGAGCTTTGGGGATTCAGTCCCTGCCTCCTTCCCTGTGCTTGGCTCGATATGTCACATGTACTGGAAACCAGCAGATTCCTTCTGGGACCCCTTAGTTCGGGCACAAACTCCAGGTGGGGCACATGGAGCCTAAAATCATACTCCAAACTTCTGTTATTCGACTACTCAAAATCCTGATCTGCTCGAACAGGGATGTTTAAAGAAAAGGTGACTCCGAAGATGAAGGACTTAGTCCCCAGTCTACAGGGAAGGTACTGACTCCGCTTTGCGGATAAAGCAAGCAAAGCACAGGTACTTCCGCCAGCTGCCCGCAGCCACGGTTGCCAAGGGGTAGAAGTGGACTTTGAGCCCAGGTCTGATCTGAGCCCAAGCTCATGCCGCTTCTGTCCCCAGGCTGCCCCTGAAAGGGACGTGAATTCATCTCCTTTTCTGATCAGACGGCCTGAGAACCGGTTTTGATGGGAGAGGCCGCGGCTGATAAACGGTGGTCCCGTAGCAAAAGGAGGCCTAAATATCGTGGCCGTGAGCGATTCTATGTCACCCACCCGATTACTCCACCACCCGGGCCTGGGCTCAACCTAGCGATCGATCCCACAGGACAAGAGAGTGTTCAAACTGTGGCCTGACTGTGAAAAAAGCGGAAGGCAGCAAAGCAAACAGATGTAGTTTAAAAGTCTTTGCAGCTGGGACAAGCCCTCCGTCACTAACGTGGACATACTGATGAGAGGCGGGCTGGCTCAAAGAGGATTACAGCTCAGCAAGACAGGTGCTGGCCTTACGATTAAACCCCTTTTCCAGTGATTTGTGCCTGGGAGGGTGTATGTACTGGGAGAAATGATGGACAGCATTTCTGGGTTCCTCATGGGGCACCACCCTGCAGCAGCTCTTCGAGCTCGAGGGAGCAGAAGGCCCTTCCCCGAGACCTCTGCATGGCTCACGACAAGGTCCTGCGAGTCCTACGCAAGATCCCTGGTCACTTCGGCTCTGTGCAGAGGGAGGATGGTCGCTCAGACCTGGCGGCCAAGAAGACGCTGGGGAAGGAGTGACAACTTTCCCCAGAGGTCAAAGTCACACGTTCATAAAAGAAGGTGCTGAGCGGCACTCACTGGGGCTCAAGCATCACCACCCCCCGCCCGAAGCTCGTTCTCCTGGACCCTGGGCACAGCCCTGTCGCTTGGTGAGGACACAGCATGCGGGCTCATGGGGCCCTTTTCAGAACCAGGCAGTGTTGTTTATAAGAGAAAAAAACCTGAAAACCACCAAGTTGTGACCTGGGAGTCAGCTGGTGTGTGTGTCTTAACCTGAATTCTTCGTTATTAAATATTTATCCTAAGAAGCTCTCCCTGGGTTCTGGTAAGTACAAATCTTTAGTCCAAAATGGACAAGTCCATTCAAATTTGCAGAAGAAAACTTTTACTTTAAAAAAAAATTAACAATAACAAAATTATTTTTTGAATTTTTCTAAAGTTTTAGTGTGGTAAAACACACAACATAAAACTCAGATCTTAACCATTTTTAAGAGTACAGTCGAGTAGTGTTAAGTATGTTCACATCATTGTGAAACGGACCCCTAGCACTTTTTTATCTTGTAAAACTGAAACTCTATAACCATTAAAGAACATTTTCTTTTACCTTTGAGCTTTAAAAAGCCTATTGATAGACCATGGTATAGGGTAATTCAGTTTCCAGTTCAAAAATCTCTGGAAACGTTATTCACGAAGTCTTAGAAAGAATCACCACCTTCCGCTGCCCCCACCTGGGCATTCACGGGAAGATGGCAGGCGATGGAAGGACAGGACAAAGAGAAGCAGAAGCAAAGTAAGTGAATTTCTCATAAACCAGAGTCCCAGGAAGAACAGGATCTAGGTGGCCCCACTTAGACCACTAGGTCGCCCTGGGTTTGAGGGGCCAGTGGGTTGGGTCGCCCCTGGCTTTGGCCTCATTAACTTGCACAGATGGATTGTGCCAACAACAGGACAATGAGCACTGAGATGCACATGGACTTGGGGGCCCCGTGTGCAGCCCCAGGCCCTTGGACATGACAACCACCAGGCAGCATGAGTAAAGGCCAGTTCCGCTTTGGGCAGACTGCTAAGAAACTTCTAGAAGAAAAATGACCCTAAATATTTGGGGTTGGAAAATTGACCAATTCTGGGTCCACACTTGAAACCCACTGAGATTTCCCACTGTAATTGTCTTTGTGAGGATTAAATTGCCTCCGGGACCTAACTTCAAACACACACGCACACGCGCGCGCAAACACACACACACACACACACACACACCAGGAATAACTTCACAGGGAAATATTTATTTCATGAGACTCTCCCAGGCTGCCCTTTGCCCTCTCCCAATGACAGATGAATCCTGCCCACAGAGAGAAGCCATGATCCCACGCTGTGAAGCGAGCAGGCCGAGGCCGTGCTGAGTGACGCGGAGGGCGAGCCTCCTGTCCTGGCACAAAGAGGGCCTCACACCCACCCGCCCACAGCTGTGCCCACAGACACGGCGCGCTTGGAGAGGCCCAGCAGGCTCTGGATGGCGGCCAGCGGGACCTGGGATGGCAATTCCAGGACAAACCAGGCACGAAAGGAGGCCCAGATCCAAAGTCAGGCGGGCCTCCGACAGATGTGGCTTTCCCCGTGGGTCTGCCTTGAAAATGCACGCTCCTTCTGCACCAGCAAACCCGCTTATCATAATCTAATTTAAGCAATGATCCTATAATTGAATAGTCCTATAACTTACACGGCGACCCTGGACACGCACGATGACAGAGAAACAAAGAGGTTCACTGTGGGGTCCTTTATAGACTCTAAAGCGTGGATTAAAAACATGGGATTTTGTCTGTGAACCAGGATGAAGGCATCCACCAGACAGATGGTCTCTAATAGTTTTAATGACATGAAAAAGTTTTGCAATTAGTAAGTACGAATTTATAACAAAGAATCTGTCTGGAACGAGGGTAAGCAGGTGGGTAGATAAACTCATGTTTCTCACCAATACAGTCTGTGTTCTAAAAATTCACAGTCGTCAAAGCAAGATCAGGGATATTATGGGATTGAGAGAGAAGCAGTAAATGACACCAAATATGCTTTGAAAACACAGTCAGTGTAAGTTCACGGTCGGGGGTGGGATGGCTGTAGAAATAGCACGATGGATACGGCGGCCTCCGAGCACATCAGAGCTGGTGGTACCCCGCCTCCAGGCAGTGCCGGAGGGACCCAGAGGAAGCGAGGCCCCGATCTCACACAAGGCAAGACAGAGAAAGCCGCTCTGGGGGAGGATGCACAGGAGCCATAACCAAAGCCGTTCCCTGTGACCTGACTATGGGCCGACAAGAACGTGGCATTTCCCACAGGCCCTAGTGAAGGATCTGAGGGGTGCTCTGGGGGCCAGTCTCCTTCCCTGGAGATGTCTGGTCAGGAAGTCTGGCCTTCTGCAGGCCCCGCATGGGCACAAACTCATCAGCTCCAAAAGGCCAGACAGAGTCAGCCATGAGCCAAGCCAGGGTAAGCCCGTCCAGGGCACACACCAGCAAGGAGCTAGACGGTGTGAACTCAGGCCCTCTCCTTCCTGCCACTGTGAAGTCACAGCCAGACACCATCATGTGAAAAGAGGGCCAGGGGAATACAACCTAAAGAAACAAGCATTTACCCAAAGACACAGGCAGCCAAGTGATGCTATTTAAACAGAAAGAGAATATGTACACGGTCAAGTTTAAAATTAACTTCTGCCACCTCCTCTACCCAGTGTGGCAGGAACACTCAAGGACAATTAAATGTGCTACCGAAAAAGTTTTATGTTACCTTTTTCACTCACTTGTATGGAATGAATTTTCAGCCTTAAACACGCATCATCTTAAAAATCCAGGAGGCGAGCCACGGTTGGTGAGGCCCCGAATGTTCATGGTGTTTCTGAGCAAATTTTTTTTTTTTCTTTTTGCTTACCTATGTTTTTCAGATATTTTGCAATAGGTATGGTTTTTTGTTTTTATTTTTGTTTTTGTTTTTACATGAGAAAAAGATTGCTAGGTTAATTGTTACTTGTCTTGGCTTGGCACCTGCTCCCCATCAGCCCTCCCGTCCTGCAGGAAGTGCGGGAGGACACTACACTCACCTGGCAACGGGCATCCGAGGATCTCCAGCCTCATGCAGATGCTCCCGCTGTCGAACCAGGACTGCGGGTTGACGCGGATGTAGCGGGCCACCGTGGGGACGGGCAGCTCGTTGAGAACCGGGATCTCCTTTTCACTGTTTCCTTCGAAGATCTATTGATGCACAAGGGTGGGGGGAAAGGAGACTCTTTGAGAGCTTTATTATCAAGGGATAAAAGAGTCAGGAACTCACTCATGCCATAAGACCCCGCTGGGGAGCACCGCACGCGTGCTGGGCATCAAGGGGAAAAGGGAGCCGAGTCGGGCCTGGACCTGTCCTCAGGAAGCTCCCATCTTGTGGGTGGAGAGGGTAATACTTAGATGTCACAGCTGAAATCTACTAGTGCCACAGCAAAGGGGCGGCCACAGAGCTCTGGGTCTTTAGGAGGAAGGAACCAGGCAACGTTTCAGGGATGAGGTGCCACGCTCAGGGCCTTGAAGGAAAATGATTTAGATCTGCGGGAACGAGAGGCTCTCCAGAGAAGAGGAGAAGCCCAGAGGCCGGAGAGCAACTGGCCCGCTTTTTCGGGAACACAGGAGTGTGTGGGGCTAAGAACGAGAGAGAGGGTCGAAAACGGAGATCGCGGCAGACACCGGGTACCACGTTGGGAACATGCACTTGAGGACCTGAGGAAGACAGGGGCATGATCAGAACTGGCCAACTCGGAGCGAATCATGGAACCGAAAGATCAGGGTGATTAAAGCGAGTGAGCGAAGGACCGGAATTGAGTAGCTGCGCAGGGCCCCCGTTTACCCACGTGCCACACGACTTTCCAGGGCTGACCTGTAAACTGTGGAAGAGACTGCACCCCAGAAGGACTGAATTTTATATGGGCCCTAAATGTGGGCCGCTCGGCGCTGAGCTTCGGGATTGGGGCAGGGGTGGGGGTCATTATCCATCAGACTCGGCAGCTGGTTCGAGTGGACACGCGATCCGCAAACACCCAGGTGCAAACACGGACTGGGCACGCGCTGCCTCTCTTTGCACAGCTAGGCCCCGGGGGGTAGAGGACGGGACAGACTCACCATGTCTCCAGATCCGTTCTTAATAGTGACCCACGTATGGCTGTCATTGCTCACCATGACCTTATAGGAGGTCACCCAATCACTCCTAAGAGAAAATAAAACATCGTTGGGACTGCACACTTTGAAATGTTTACCTCTTCCAGGTAGAGGTGTAGCAGTGATACGAGCAAGCACCTGGTCACTCCCTAGCCCCCAGCTACCACTCCCCGTGGCCTTGGCCAGGTAACTGACCATCGCTGCCCCTGGTTACTCATCCATAAAATGAGAATCATAAAAGTTCGAGCTTAGGGGATGAGGATGAGCGTGAAATGGTTTAGTGCCCTTTAAACACTTAGGACAATGCCTGGCCCCTGGTAAGCACTAGACATTGGTCACACACCAGAAGATACACAAGTCTATATATATATATATGTATAGTTGTTTATATTGAACATTTGTATCACACAGTAGTAGCTTAATAAGAGTCCCACGTGGAAAACCAACCTCAGTAAAAGTTGCAAGTTGGTCTAGAAATTTTGTTTGGGACACTGATTTGGGAACAAGGCAAACTGGATTCCATGAACCACAAACATGACAGCTTAAGTCTCTGAGAAGCCCTGAGTGTCTCCTTGGCTGTCACAACCATGTAGTCGCCCCCCAAGCACCAGCAACAATCCAGTGATAGCTGGGCCTGAAGCCAGACTCCTGTCATCACGACCTACTGTGTAGAAACTTCTGCGGGGAAAACAGACATAATCTGACTTCCCAGAGTGGAGGTCAATTTGATAGGCTTGGCAAATAAACAACCTTCATGTGAAAAACACATTTTTTCCCTCTGCCTCGGTTTTGTTTTGTTTTTAATAACATTAATCATTAAGCAATACAGAAAAAGTCTTCCTGAGCGTTCTTCTTTTTAATTTTTAAAATGTTAGAACTAAGCACGATTGCCTAATCTTTTAGATTATTCTGCCAGCTGAAGCATGTGGGCTCCTTTCCCCACCGTGAAATCTTGGACTATATCCCAATAAAGTTCTGAGCTTCTAGTCTGCATCAGTACCGTCTAGTAAAGTTTCATTAGAAAGACAGGCTGGTTCCATTCATTCTGGTTCGTCTGACCGACTTGTCGCAAAAATTATTCTTAAGTGTTTTGCACACGTTGGAAACAAACCCTTTGCCTCGAACCTTCTCCCCTCCTCCCCGCTCCTCCTCGCCAGCCTCGTCTGTACACCCGCTGAGAGCTGGAATCTGTCCAACAGCACATTCCTCCCCAGAGGGGTCCGTCTTGGGCCCACACCGTTAAGTGTGCCTTTCAAAAAGCGTCTCAGCAACAGCTCATGTCCTCTGCACTGGAAATTTGTCCTCACCCAAAATAGCAACCTGTTTCCCACATTCGAATAATTTCCAAATGACTTGTAACTGCTGTTCCTTTTGCCTCTGTTTCTCCGCTGGTAACACCCCGCGGTGATCCAGGAGGCAGTCTGCAGAGGCGAGGGACATGCCCCACAGATGGGGCTGAGGAAGGTAGGAAAGCCCTCAGTCAAAAGAGGCACCCAAACCATAAGAGAGGGCTAGGAAGAAAAAAGAAGTTCTCCAAAGAAAAGGAAGAGAAAAGGAAATGAAACCCAAGTAACAATTACACGAACTTAAAAGAACATATAGACAAATGTTTGAGGGGTAATTGGTTGTTGATAAAGCTCAGACCTCTTTTCTGAACTACAGGCTTAGATCACGTCCTTCTGTCAATGTGACCTCGCCACTCAATGTCTCAGAGACATCTCAAATTTAACCAGCCCCAAACCAACGGATTTGTTTCAAACCAGCCAACCTGGGGTCTAACGAAGTCCCTGCCTCGGAAAAGGTACCACCATCCGCCCAGGGGGCCCGAAGCCCTATAGTCATCCTTGGCACCTCACTTTCTTTCCTTCCCCTGTACCGAATCCACCACCAAGTTCTGTCCATTTTACCTCCCACATCTTTCTAGAATCTCTCCAAATCTCCAACTGCACCGCCACCTCCTCGGCCCATTTTCTCAGGCCAGGGTTACCGCGGTTGCCTCCTCGGACTGCTCAGCTCCTGACATCGCTGTGGGAGGATGGACTTGTGTCTGAAGGTTCTAGCCACATGTCAAACTTAAAGTGACATGGAATGTGGAGGACAAAAAAAAAAAAAACAGTGCGTAGCTCAGAGGAACGAAAGAGGCAGGGGCAGGCTAATGAATGCAACATACGCCTTATCTCACGAAAAAGCTGCGTATTTTATTCTTTCGTGACAGGCACATCCATTGTTACGAGAAAGCCAGCTTCAAAGATCAGAGCTATAATGTCCATGTCTCTTGATCTCCTAATCCTTGGGGAAGGTTTGAAATTCACGGCCCTTTGTGGCTTTTTCCCACTGGCCTCAGAGAGATTTTTCCACATCACAAAACCACCTTGACATTTAATTCTCTGCAACTGGAGATTTCAAGCTCAAGTAAAGAATTTGTGTCACAGACTTTCTGACTGCAGAAACGGGGAGAGGCTATGCTGACTCCCGCCAGCTCCCTGACTTAAAACAAAACCAAAAAACGACCCTACCCTCATATGAGATACCACATTTCCTACCAATCCTGCTTTCCTTCAGATCAGGAAAACAGAAATGGGCTATGCAGGAAAAAACTGGAACACACTCAGATATTTTAGTACCCAATATAAGTTTGGTCTAAGTACAAATCAAGAATGTCCACCATCAACAAAATGGCAGACTAAATGCCTGCAGAGCCTTCTTCTACAGCTCAGCTAGGTCCTGGTTACACTAAAACGAATGTTTTAAACCATCAGGGGGTGTGCAAGCATGCAAAGGAAATCTCTAAAGGAAAAAAAAGAGCTGTGAATTGAAATACACACACACACACACACACACACAGAGTGAGCAAACAAAAAAGGTAAAGTTGCCTTAGGGAAAAATGCATATAACAGTGCTGGCGTCAAAACACTAAGCCAACAAAAAATAGGAAAATTGGACCAAGGACTTTTTCTTGGACCCTCAAAGGGTGTTGAAATGGTTTCAGAACACCAGTGGTCACTGGGCTCGCAAAAGAAGCACACATGAATCTTCTCTAAATAAGAGTCTTCAATTTAGACTCTCGAAGGTTTCAGTAAATTCAATCACATAGGAACTCACGATTTGAAAAAAATCACTAAACACACAAGAAAACATTCTCCCTGAGAAAGAAGTAGCAGAAACAAAAAACAATAAACTTAGATCTCAGAAAACTTAATTATCTACAAAGAAAACTCAAAAAAAATTAGAATATTATTAGACTTGATAAAAGAGTTATTAGAATATTAGAATATTAATAGACTTGATAAAAGAGTTCAGAAAGATGACTGGACATAATCCTACTACACAAATATTAATTACAATTCTATACACAAGCAGTCAAAAATAAGGTATTAAGAATAAAATGAACAAAAGACGTGCAAAATACTTATGGAGAAAACTTTACTGAAAGACATTTTAAAAGACATAAATAAGTGCATATCTATACCATGCTCATGGATAGAAAAATATTATAAACATGTCAATTCTCATGCACCAAAAAATCCCAATAGCATATTAAAAAACTTGACAAACTGATACTAAAGTTTATGTGGAAGAAAATAATCACAAAACTTTTGAAGAAGAAGAAACGGTGGGGAAAAATTGCCCTATCAAGATATTAGAACTTATTTGAAAGCTTTAGTATTTGAGAAACTGTGATAACAATGAACACACAGACAAATTTATAAACGACCAGACTAAGAGCCCAGAAATAGACCCTTGCACATATATAAACTTGACAGAGATGTCTTACATGGCAATGGAAAATAAGTGAACTGCTAAATACTCTCAAGGTAACTGGATATTAATATAAAACGAAACTTAAATTGGACATATATTTTACATCTTTCACACACACACAGACAAAATCCGGAATAAATTAACTATTTAAATGTGAAAAGTGAAACTTAAAACTTAAAAAAATTTAATGACATATGGGAGAATTGTTTCATAACCATGAGATAGGGAAGGATTTTATAAATAAGACACAATCAATCTAACTGGAAATGATAAATTAGTTGAACTACATTAAAATTAAAAACTTCTGCTTTTCAAAAGACATCATAATGAAGCCAGTAAGAGAAACCTTACTGGGAGAATATATTTTGAGTGCATTTAGCTAACAAAAGGATTAATATCCAGAAAGTATTTTTAGAATTCTATAAATCCATGACCCGGGGACGGCCCCGCACCACGCAACGCTCGCACGCAGGAGGAAGGAGCGGCTTACGAGCCGCTCGCCCTGCTCCTAAGGGTCATGGCTGGTTTAAGACCCTGCACCCCAGAGCTGGACTCGAAATGGAGAAACTCGACAAGTCATTCACAGTAAAGGTAACTCAAGTGGCAAGTAAACCTAGGAAAAGAAGTTCGACCCAATTAGAGGTTGGGGAAATACAAGTTAGAACCACAGTGGAAGATACTGCTTTACACTCTTTATACTGAAACTTAAGGACAATGACAATAAGAAATGTTGGTGAGGATGTGCGAGGAGCAAGAAGAACTCTAAAACGCTCCTGGAGAAAGAGAGGATGTGTGGACAAGCGGTCTGGACAACAATTTGTCATTATCCTATCAAACTCAGCATCTGCATACCTTCCAACTCAGTCATCGTATTCCCATGTATGTATCAGAGACATTCCCTTGTATGGGTGCTTCAAGAGACATACAAAAATGTTTAATAGCGGTGTTATCTTTAAGAGCAAAAAGTAACAATGCAACTAAATAATAAGAAATGGTAAAGGGAGCCATCCAGTCTCCATCCAGCACATTCAAACAGCAGCGAATGTGCTACAGCCACAGGCAACAACACGAATGATATTTGGAAGCAGAACGCTGAGGGAGAAAAGACAAGTTTCAAACGCTACCTGAAGTACAAAATCATTTGTATAAAGCTCAAAGCAAGAAAGATGATTTTGGCATGTGTGATACATACACGATGAGACTTTTTAAAAGGCCAGGGAATAATAAACCTCCAATAAGGAGAATGGCTCTGCTTCCGGCAGGAAGCCCCTGGCGGGCATCAGGGGA